TGCAGTTTACCACGTCATGCTTTGTCATGAATGTATGAAATTTAGGGCTTTATGTAAAAATTATTCGGGCTGTTAAGAATTCAGTTCAGAAGAATGTTTTAAATCTATGTAGTAACCTGTGAGCATTACGTTTACCGCAATGCCATGCTAAGGACATTTGTTTAAATGGGCATTTGATGCTATATTTGCTGTGCTCATCTGTAAAGAGCACACAGATCTAGCAGGTCTCATTTCACTGGCTCCAGGGAACAAAAGTGTTGCCTTTTCCCAATTAAGTAGTGGAACTCATGAGCTGGAATCGCATATTTAGACCAAGTAGGTAACGTGTGTAGTTTGTTATTCACTTTCTGGCTCTGTCTAAAGGCCAAACACCTTCTTTTTAAAAATTTGAAGAGCCTGGTTGCCAGTTGTTCTTTGAAGAAATAACTTTTCATTTAAATAGTAATTCATGCAAAGGAGGGGGGATCACACATATGTCAGTATTAATGAAAACCCATCTTATCACCATCTCTACAACTAGCTTTGCATTTTTTTTAAGCTTCTGCATTGAGTCTGTAAGTTGCCTGAGGTAAAAAAAAGCACAAGGAGGATACTAAAATCTGAAATTCATGATTATTTTCTTTATTTATTAAATGCATATATTTGAACTCCTAAGGAAGTAGGAACCCACTGATCCAGAATTACAGATAGATGAGAACACCTCAAAATAGGCACAACTCTCAGAATAAGTCATTCTCATGTGGAACACTGGATAGATGTAAAAGCTGAATCACCAAGGTATTGAATGTTCAGATGTTTTTTTGCCTTTAGGCTCTCAAATCTTTGGTCCATATTTCTTTGTTCTCTCATTTTAGGTTATGACACCAGACAGTTCCACAAAGCTGTCTCTTTCACAGAGTTATTCTAGCAAGAGTGCTCAAAAATCTTAAGTCAACACAGACAAAAATACTAAGTTCTAAATCAGTCCACTGCCCGTAGTTCAAGCTTCTGTCTCCTTAGATCTCCCCTCATCAGGAGCCTGACTCTCTCTGTCTCTAACTCTGGGGCCTGGCACCCAGGGCTGCTGCTGAGTAAGCTGAGGTTAGGACTCCACATATGTAAAGTTGGTCAAATTTAAAACAGTTGTGGTTTCCCTGTAATAACTTTTCCCTGAAATAATGTGGAGAGAGGCAGAAGCGTGGTACTGTGGGAGAAAACATGACCAGAGGACGTGTTGCCTGGGAACTTCTTTGTCAGGCAAATATGAGTCATGGGCCAGTGCTGCCACGGGCTGGTTGGAAATCTGAGTTTTAACCTTTGAAGGGTATTTAGTTGAAGGCCCGCAGGTTGGTGTGTGTTACAAGTATCACATAAATAAATTCCACTCTTGTGATTGCTTAACTGGGTTTCCCCAACATTCTATTTTTTCCATTTCTTTTCCAACTAGCTTTGCCCAGTTTTTTAAAAAAATTTCTCCTCCCCTGCTTATAAAGCACATTGACTTTGTTTAGTAAGCAGAAGAATCTTTTAGGAAGTCCCACTATTAGGCAAGATTTCATAAATTAACGTTCTCAGGGGAAAAAATGTTTTTCCTCTTCTGTTACTAATCTACAAAAGTAGCCTGCCATATGTAATCATATGTAGGATGCCAAATTTTTCCAAATGACACAAGTAGGGGAGTTTTTGTTTTGCTTATTGCGAAGTATAAGTTGGCAGACCTTCTCCAGAATGAAAGCAAGTTGCACTGGTTGACCTGCAGAGGGCGCTAACAAGTGGAACACAAAAAGTCTAGTTTTTACAGAGAAAAAAAAAATAATGCTTAGAGTGCAGTTTCTTTATGAAGAAAACCAACAAGGACTCTTTCTTTTTCATTGGTTAATGTCTTCATAAACATTGTCTATTTTCTGTCGCATTTTTCCTCACAAACAGATAGGAATCCTCAACTTAATAATGGCCTGACTGTATTTGAGATCTGAGATAGGAATATATTCCAAGCTCTACAAGGTCACGAACTGTGTCAGTCTTCCTCCCCATTGTACCACCCACCTCTTGGCACACAGGAGGTGCTCAACCAATAACAACTGAACAAATTAAAGTGGACAAAAACAAAGATTCTAGCCCAGGCCAGCATGGTTCAGTTGGTTGAGCATCGTCATGTGCACCAAAAGGTTGCTGGTTTGATTCCATTCAGGGCACATGCCTACGTTGTGGGTTTGGTCCCAGTGCATATGGGAGGCAACTGATGGATGTTTCTCTCTCTCTTTTCCTCTCCCCCTCCCTTCCACTCTCTCTAAAATCAATGAAAATATATTTTAAATAATAGAGATTCTATCTTGGGAACAAAGATTTGGTGCTTGTTCTTTGGTAAATGGGTTGACAAAAAAATCCCTAGAGATAAAATGTGTAAATTATATTTTATATTTATTTACATTTTTATAATTTGATTCAATTTATTCATTCAACAAATATGTATTATTTACTATTTCCAGGCATTTCTCTAAGTGCTTGAGATATGATACTCTAATATTCTCTACTAAATTGGAAGGTAATAACTAGTTGACAGAAAAACAACATAACGCAGATTAGAGGATACAGAATTGTGAATAGTCAGTGCTATTTTCAATGGGATTGTCAGAGTGGTGTTTGAGAAGAGACCTAAAGCATGGGAGTGAGTTTACAGGTACTTGGAAGAGTCTTCCAGCCAGAAGGACAGCAAGAACGTCAGCCCGGAAGTGAAGAAGTTTTTGAAATGTCTGAGGAGTCATAAGAAGGTCCCGTGACTGAGCTGGGTAAGGAAAGGGGAGAATACTAAAAATTCTTCCCTTTGTTTAGGAAGTGAAGTTGGAGACATAAGTAAAGGTCAGACAGATTATGTATGGCTCTACAGGCCAGTGTTAGGTTTGGAGTTTTTAATATAAGTATCTTGGGGAGCATCAGAGAGCTGAGCACAAGAGAGGGAGATGATGGCCTTGACTTTGTAAAGTGGTTGTTCTCACTGCTGTGTGAAGAGCAGAGGCAGAGGACTGAGTGTGGAAGCAAGGGGACTAGGTAAAAGGATCTTGCGGTGGCCAGACCAAAGCTGATGGCCTGGCTGAAGGAAGGTGGTGACAAATGGATTGTGGGAGGGGGATGTAAAAGGAGTAAAGATTCTTTTTGGCCCAAGTAACTGGGTAAATGTTGTTGTCATTTTTAGAGACTGGGAAAGACTAAGGGAAGAGCAGGTATGACAACGGGTGGAGTGGAAGGAAGCCAAGGGTTCAGTTTTGGACATTAAATTTGAAATGCCTTTTAGACATGCACATGGAGAAACGAAGCAGGCAGTTGAGTATGAGCTGTGGTCTTTAGAGGAGTTGAGGCTGGGCCTGTGCACTTGGGAATAGCTGGCATAAACTCCGGAAGGGAAATGCCTCTTGTGACTCTGCTTTTATTTACTGCCTGCATAACCTCACATCCTGTTGGGAAGATCCATGAGGCGGAGAATCACCTTGGAATTAGGACATCACTGAGAGTCACAGTTCAGGAGCCAAGGCACAACGTGTCCTTCCTATTCTGGTGGATGGAGCAAGCAGGGCAAGGCCCCTTGTCCCCTCTGCTCAAGTTGTCCACATTTAACATGACAGTCTCCTCCACCATGTGGTTCTCCTCAAAGAACAGGGATAACACACGCATGATATTGAAAAGTGTTGCCAACATCGGGAACTCCATGGCTGGAACCCGAAGGTGGGAAGATTTATTAGGACGTAGATAATCAAGTCCTTAGGGCAGGCTCTGCTATGTCACTTTCCATGGATCTAGGTATAAGATTCAGTCAACTACTGATGCGAACTCACTGTTGAAGTCACTTCAGTCGCTAAGTGGAAGCTGACATGATGGGCTGGGGAATGGCAGATATTCGTAAGACACCATGCTCCAGGCATTAACCACTTCCCTACAGGCTTTAGCAACATGTTCTTTTGTGTTGTATCTCCTTAGAACGAGTCTCCCTGCCTCGCCCACCCAGAGAACTTCTAATTTCTCAAAGCCCGGGTTCAAGATCTTCCTCCTCTGAAAAATTCCTAGGCCCATCTAAGCAAAAATCTGCCATAGAAGTGGGGCTGTGCACCCTCCAGCGATCCTGTGGACAGAGCCACTATAGGATTGGCTAAGGCTAAGCCTCGTCTCTGTGGCTACGTCCTGGCTGGGGGTTGATGACCTGTGTGGCACAGTGCTTAGTGTCTCCGTTCCAGGACTGTCACACCATGTGGCAGTCATTTAGAGAAAGCCCACCTCCCCTATTGGACTGTGGGCTCCTTTGGGAAGACAGCCAGAGTGTCATCAGCTCTCTGTTCTCTGCACCTCACCCAGGACTAGTCAAGCAGCAGAAACGTAATACATATTGAGTTAAATGAATGAATGGGTTAGAATTAAAAACACACACACAATCCCAGAACAAAGCCTGTTCTTCTAAGAAAAAGCTGGAAGCTCAGTGAGCTTTGGAAAAACTAATGATGACTCAGCTCAAGTCAACAAGATGCATGCTGGGGGTTGATGACATCACACTGGTTGGAAAGTGAATTATTCTGAACCAATGTTGCGCTGTTGGGAACTCTTATTTGCCTGAATGATCAATAATTTCTCTCTCTCTTTTAGTAGGGGACTTCCTCCAAAGTTCATACTTCAGTTTCTGTGGGCTTTCCAGGGGAGCCAGGGCGTAGCCACAGAGAAGAGGCTTAGCCTTAGCCAATCCTATAGTGGCTCTGTCCACAGGATTGCTGGAGGGGGCACAGCCCCACTTCTATGGCAGTTAGTACAATTCGATGACTTGAATGTGTCCAGCATGTATCTGAATGACCCCTGGGTCTGCACCTAACATACTGGGTACAGGGATGACACAACCCTGCTGACCTCGAGTGATCTTAACCGGGTGAGCGTACAGCACACAGCCCAACGTGTTTACCTGCGTTAGACTGATGGCTGGCTGGCCAAGCCTAAGGAATGTCCACGACCCCAAACCACGTTATTTGCTTGAGTAATGTTCTTACCTGGCCCTTGGATCTTGACTCCTCGAATGGGAGGCACTGTATGTCACATTGGTAGTAACAGGACAGATGGTCAGGGTGATGGAGTTTTTGACCCGGATCTAGGAAAGACCTGTGACCCACCTGGATCAGATGAGCTGCGCTCTCTGGGCTGCCGTATCTGAGGTCATGTCCATTGATGGCTAACACGCGGTCGTTCTCCTCCAGCTGACCGTGTCGGTCCGCCACACCGCCATCCAACACGTTGAAAATGAACACCCCGGGCTCATCCACCTTGCGCACCAGTTTTATCCCCAGCTGCTCCTCAGGGCTGCTTTTGTTGAGAATCACGTGGAAGCTGTCATCGCGGGGCCCGCCGCTGTCCAGCGCCTGCCCGTTGCTCCTGCTCCGGAGCTTCTGCTCCCGCAGCACAGTCAGCCACAGCACCCGGCAGGGCTGCCGCAGCAGGCGCAGCGCGTAGTTGTGACGGACATTGCTGATGTCCATCCCGTTGACCTGGGGGAGGGGACTCAGCTGTCAGTTCCGCCTGCCACGCCCCTTCCCAAGAGGCCTAGGCCCACAGAACCACCAGGGCCGGGCCTCGGAGCCGCTCTGCTCTGTCCAAATATCCCCATCTGCCCACATTTCTCCACATGACTTGCCGGGAGGTCACCTGCACCACCGTCACAGGTCTCAGTGGAGACCATCTTTCTGCTCCCTCACCCTGACACAAGCCCCACATTTGTTTATGCAATCAGACTCATGTTTTCATTTGGAGTTGGGGGGGAAAAGAAATAAAAAGTAGGAAAAGGCAAATGAGAATAGAAAACATTCCGTTGAGCTCAATGATAATAGTAAACTGCTGTTCAATTCAAACTGAGGTGACATTTTCTTTTCCAAAGCCCCCAGATGAATTTTTCTCCCTGGGTCACCCATACTGAGTGTCAGTCCCCACTACTGTGTGTGTGTGTGTGTGTGAGAGAGAGAGAGGATGTGTGTGAGAGAGAGAGAGAGAGAGAGAGAGAGAGAGAGAGAGAGAGAGAGAGAGAGAGAGAGAGAGGATGTGTGTGAGAGTGTGCATGAATGTGCTTGTTTATTGGCAAGTGTGTGAATGTGAGTGTGTGTGTGTGTGTGTGTGTGTGAGAGAGAGAGAGAGAGAGAGAGAGAGGGAGAAAGAGTCAGGTCTGCAAGGTCTTTTGCCTATGTTCTCAACAAAAGAAAAAAAAATCTCTGCAGTTTCAAACAAACTGACGTGAATGGAAGTTTCTAGGCTCTTTTATTGAAAGGCTGGGTCACTTTATGATGCCACTTAAAGATCCTCAAGCTCAGCCCTCTCATTTGTGCCTCTTTAAAGATCTGCCTCTGGATGCCTGGTGGCGCTTTCTGGTTTTGATTACCCAGCTAAGCAGGCGCAGCCCCTAGTGGTGGGCGCTGCCCTGGAAGAGGAGAGTCACACAGCGCTCTGTGCTTAAGGAGCGAGGCCCCACAGAAGAGAAACAATCTTCTTGAATTTCTATGGTTTGGTAAGAAACCTGGGGCTTGCAGCCAACTGCTAGAGGAGCTTCGCAGTGAGATTGTAAAAGGCCTTCCTGCAGCGGACAGTCGCCAGTTCTCTGCTGCGTCTCCAGGGAAGGAGGGAGGCTCCCCCTGCACAGACAAGGCTCGCCACCTCTGCGCAAGCCCAGGTGAGCTTCAGGACCCGGCTCTGCTTGGCTGCCTTATCCTCTGTCTGGTTTCCCCCATCACGTCCAGGCCAAGAGAAGGTCAGGGCTGCCCGCTAAACAGTCCTGGCAGCTCTTCTGCCTGCAAGTGCCAGTTGAAGGCCGTGTAGGAATCAAAATGTTTTATTATGCAACCGTCCCAGGCAGCATCGTTTCCACCAGAACTGGGAGGACGCCATGCGGAGCATCGCAGATCGCACACGCTGACTGTCCCTTGGGGTTGATGGACCCTGCCTTGTACTCCACCCTTGAAAGCCAATCGGAATTTCAGTTTTTTTCTACGATACGTGCTTTCAATTTTCTCTTATTCCAAAGAGTGAGAACTGGCCAAAGAAACTGCTCAGGAGGTGTCAGGAGCTGGCCCCTCAGTAACCTAGAAGGGGTGGGATGAAACTGTCATCTGAGTATCAGACAGGAAATATATGACCAGGGAGAAATCCCTTGTCCCTTTTGGCACATGCTCGGCTTGTGTCTGATAAACAGCTCTTCCTTTATCCTTTCTCTTCTTCTGAAAATTACTCCCTGATGTCCTTCCCCTCAACCAAGCCTCACAGGACGGGCCTGCCCAAAGCTTTCTGCCCCCCACCTGTCTCCCTGGAATGTCTGTGGGTTGGCAGGAATAATTTAGGGGTGACATTTTTTTTTTCATGGAGGGCCATTAAGCAACAGGAAATTTACTTTAGAGTCGTGTGTGAATGCAAATGATTAGATAAAATACAAAGTGTTCCATTAGTCTACTTTAAAAACAATTTCAGAAGACATATGCTCCAGTTTTGTATTATTTTATATTATATTACATAAAGTAGGAGGGAGGGGTAGAAAGAAGGAGAGAGAGAGGAAGAGGAGAAGGAAGAGAGGGGAGGTAGAGGAAGGGAAGAGAGAGGATGGAAGAAGCTAGAGGGTAAAGAAAGAAGGAGGGGAAGCCAGACAAAATAATAGAGATTGAAAGAAATATTTATATAAAGAGAGCCTAAAGAAGAGTGAAAGGATGAGAAAGACAGAGAGGAACAAAGACGATCTCAATTAAACTGTAAATCTCATATTAAGAACATATCAACATAGTAACTATGAAAAGTAATTGCTCCATATTTATTTTAGTATTTCATCCATGCATCCATCCATCCACCCACCCAGTTAGTTGCTCTGAGGTGATGTTTATTAAGCCCTTTTCATGGCCTCACAGCCATGGTCTCTACCTTTAGTATGATGTCTCCTGGCAGTAGCCGGCCGTCTCTGGCAATCACCCCATCACGGTAGATGTGCTGGATAATGATATGGACCAGCGGGGTTTCACTGCCTCCCACAAGCCTAATGGAGAGGCTCTCGTTGGGATCCACTCTATTAATCTTGATGCTGGTAATTTCACCGTCTGGAATCAGGTGATACAACCTTGGAAAGACTAAAATGGACAAAGACAGTATTTACTTTAAGACGCCCACCCAATGGACATTTCCAACCACTCTTCTTCTTGCCAAACTTCGGTTTCAGCCAAACTAAACTATGCATACATGTTTTCCATTTTCCTTCCTGCGTGCCAGCATAAGTTTCTTTGCCTGGAATGTCTTTTATTCTAGGCCTGAACCCAAGTCTTCCTTCAAGGCCTGCATAAAATGATCCTTTCCAATTAAACTCTGCCCTGATCCCCCATCCCCTGTTCTCTCTAAACATCCCATTTCCCATTAAACTCTCTTCATTTTTCATAGCATTCAACCTTCTGTTATTTTTCCTGCCCATTTCTTTAAAAAAATGTTTTATTGATTTTTTTTTTTTTTAGAGAGATGGGAAAGGAGAGGGAGAGAGAGAGAAATGATGAGAGAGAAACATTGATTGGCTGTCTTCTGTATGCCCCCTACTGGGGATTGAGCCCGAAACCTGGGCCTGTGCTCTGACCACTGAACCACACTGGCCTGGCTCATGCCAATTTCTTATATCTCCCGTTGAACTCTAAGATACTCGAGGACAATTTCTGGCTCCTCCGGAGTTCTGTGCACAGATCCCTGCACACGGAGACTGCAGCCAATGTTTGGGTGAACAGGAATGAATGAATGAACGACCCGCCCTTATGGAATGGACTGCAGTTTCCTCACTTACTTATCAAGGAACAAAACAGAATAAATCTGCGCTTCGGCTCTCTCAGATCATTTTGAAGATTTCTTCCTGAAAGTCCCCACTTTCCAGCTTAGGGACTCACCGGTCCTCTCTACCAGACATGTTTGTCAACAAAGGAAGTCCAACAGCCTGATTCATGATCAAGAAAAGAGCCGCAGCCTCAGTCGGTGGCTTTAAGAGGTTTGGCCACCGATCTGCCATCATCACTAATTCAGAGCTGGGAGACTCGGAGATCATCATGGGTGGTGTTTGCAAACTTGATTTTTTAACTGAGGACTCTTCTTTCCCGTGAAATACGTCATGCGCCCACCCCCACCCCACTGTGCCCACACGCAGATCTGCTGTAGTCGGTGTGCAGCTGGATAGCAAGTCGAGCCTTTATTTTTCAGGTGAGGACATTTGAGTTCAGAGGGGGGAAGTGATGTGACTGCTTGGAGGTCATGTCACTTAGTTAGGTGGCCCTCAGAGCCAGGTCAGAACCCAGGGCTCCTGATGACCACCCTTCCCATCACCTGCCTCAGGTGTGCCTGGAGCCAGGGGTTCCCAGCCCGGTGACATCCCACAGGGGCTTTCCCTGTAGGTCTGTAAGCCGGCAGCACCCCCGGCACTGCTCTCCACCTGGGTTTGGAGAGAAGTGACCAGAGGCGATGCCGTAAGTGCCGGCCAGGCTACACCGAGTGGGAGGAGGAAGCACGCCTCCCGAATTGCTTGAGGCTGAGTTCGGATGAGGAGGGCGGAGAAGCTTCTGTCTCCTGTAGCTGCTGACAGCTGCCTCTGCCCCCAGTTCTCCCTTAATTAAGTCATCTGGGAAGATCAAGGCCGCACGCCTGGTTCCGCACAGTCCACTCTTTGTGACTATTATCAAAACCCATGACCCTCGTCCATTTTTCCTAATGAACTCAGTTCACTAATGAGCCCTCAACTCTCTAGGAACAATACAGAAAGAATTCAAGTTATTTCTACATTTTGTAGAACATGAGAAACAAAGCAATTTAGCGGCCAGAGAGAGCCAGAGACATTGTAAATTCGGGTCCTTCACCTCCACTGGGATTTCATTTCAAGTGAGTGATTGGCTTTGCTGTGAGGCTGTGGGCAGCCGTCTTAATCTGCCAGTTCCTGGTGCTAACAGCACGAGGGTGACTGAGGTCAATTAATGTTTAAGCTACTCCAGTTACATTAAGTAGATATACTGCAAGCATTTGTTGGAACAGGTTTGGTGACAAGGGAATGGAAATTTTAAAAAATCATTTCGAGCAAAGAAAGATTTAGAAAGAGTCAAAGCTGCCAATTTTTCCCCTCTCCTCCCCCTCTCTCCCAACAGATTTACTAAAACCATACATCCAAACCTAGTTGATTTGATAATCCGAGAGGACACACCCAATAACGCTTGTAAATGATGCTAATTAGGGCCACCCCAGTGAGACCCCAGTGCCCCTGAAGAGTTAAAGTAAGTTTTAAACTGCCAAACTCGTGTTGGTCTAGGACAGTGGTCGGCAAACTCATTAGTCAACAGCCAAGTATCAACAGTACAATGATTGAAATTTCTTTTGAGAGCCAAATTTTTTAAACTTAAACTATATAGGTAGGAACATTGTTATTAACTTAATTAGGGTACTCCTAAGGCTTAGGAAGAGCCACACTCCAGGGGCCAAAGAGCCGCATGTGGCTTGCGAGCCAGTTTGCCGACCATGGGTCTAGGACAAAACAACTTGTTCAATATTCTGTCTTCCCTCATGGACTAAGGAATATAATGTTACTTACTAAGAGTTTAATATAGGCTGAGCACTGAGCTAAGTGATTGGCATGCACAGTTTTTTGTTTTGTTTTGTTTTTTGTCCTAACAATCTTATGAAGTAGATAATTATTATCCCTGTTTTTTTAGATGGTGAAACACCGAAGCTTAGAGAAGTTCAGTAACCTGGCCAGGGTCATGCAGCCGATAAGTAGTGGAGACAGTCTCTTTACGGATATAAAGGTATGGCTAACCCACACCACGGGAGTTCACCAGTATCACTACCAGCCCCACTGGGTCCTCAGCCCTCACCCTATTCCAGGGCAACAGCTTCCCAGAGCATCTCAGGCAATCTATTCTCTCCCACTCTAGGCCTCCTGCACACACAACACGGCTGCCACCCTCATCTTTTTGAAACATGGCTCCAGTCCTCAACAATTCCACCCAAGTTTTCAGGTGGATACAAGTCCAGACTCTTAATGGCATCTAGCACCCTCTCTGATCTGACCTAATGAATCTCCCACTACTTTCCAACACAGTCAAGATCTCAATGTCCACCCAGATCTGAAACCATTCCTTAAACATGGACAACACTGCCCTCTCGGAACTGACGCTGCTCTCCCTGTGGCTGCCATTGTCATTCATGCGCACCTCACTCTATGGCATTCTATTTTCTTTTAGTCTTGAACGAACCTCTTGAAGCCAGGAATTGGATTTTATATGCTTCATAAAAAATTGCAGAGCCTCGGCTAGTGCCTTATACATAGAAACCTCTTATTAAAAATGTTTCTGCAATAAACATGCAAATAAATCTTATTCATGCAGGAGAAAACTTTATATAGAGTGTCATTAAGGAGCCTTTACTAAGAAAGGAAGACTGGCATAAAGGAAGTTCTAATCATGTCACGTATTCATTGCACACACGTTCAGCAAACACCATTATGCACCAGATCCTGTGTTTGGCTTTGAGAGTACAAAAGCTCAGAAGAAGAACCTCTACCCTTATAGGTACAGTTATAATGAATGGTGGTCATTGCGATAATAGAGAACCAGGTGCTTGAAGAATACAAAAGAAGGGGGACTGAGGGAATCAGGGAGGGCTTCCAGGAGGAGGCAAAGCCTAGGCTGGAAGGAGGCATTAGAATGCCAGATGAAGGTGAGTGGAAGTGCAGGCTGGACAACAGCGTGGAGGTGAGCAAAAGAGTATTTACAGGACTGGGATAGTAAGTTCAGGATAGTTAATGCAAGCAGTGTGTGTGTGAGCATGTGCGTGCATGTGTATATGAATGAGCATGTGCGTACAGGGTGAGAGGTGATAAGTGAGCAAGAAGGGGTGTTATAACACTGCTTAGAAATTCTCTAAAGGCAGTGGTTTGGGGTCTACCAACCAACCCCCCAGAGAGAAGGGCACTTAACCAGTAGTTAAGAGAGTGGGTTCTGAAGCCGGAGACCTGGTTTAAAATCCTAAGTGTGCCATTTTCTAGCTGGGTGACTTTGGGCTAGTAACTTAATGTCTCTGGGCCTGTTTCCTCATCTGTAATATGAACATGATAATCCCCTAGTTTTGTGATATCGGAATGACTTAGAACACTACCTAGCACACAGAAAAAGCTAATTTTTAAGCTAATATTATTACTACCCTAAATTCTAATATAAAATGAAAAGAAGGAAACAGGCAGTATTTCCTCAGCTCCATTTATATTTGAGAAAACACGTAGGATCTAAGACCCAATAACAACTTCGCGTGGATTCTAGAGCCACATTACCGGAGTTCAACATTTGGTAAGGTACTTTGGGCAAGCTAAGGAACCTCCCTATGCCTCAGTTTCCTCGTCTGTCAAACAGCTACTTTCTAGGGTTGTTGTGTGGATTACGTGAGCGAATGCATGGAAAACACTCAGAACCATACCATCATACCTAGTTGTGATAAGGACCACCAGTAGCTACACAGCCTTTACCAGGCACTGTTCTAACTGCTTTTCACTTACCAACTCTGATTATTCTTGGTATGTGTTAAGCTAGTACCTGAACGTAAGGGTTCTCACCGCTTTTCCCTCAGCCTATGGAAAAGGAGAACAACAATTTCTGCTTGCAGTTACTTACGTGAGAACCAGGCTAAGCGAGGTAAGAAATATTTTATACCCTTGGGAAGAGAGTTGCCACAGAAAGCGAGTGGTGGTCAGGTTGTCATCACGCAGACATGATTTTGGAAGGCCAGACCATTCCCAGCCCATTCCCAGCCTGCGGGGAGTTCATTTACCTTCAGGGGGAGTGGTGCTTTCAGAGTTTTCCCCGCCCTCGTCGGCTTGATTGGCCTCCGCACTTCCACTCTTTGTCCTTCGCAGAACACTCAAAGCTCGGTTTATTTTTTTAAACGATCTGCTTCTAATAGAGGATCGCTCAAAGGGCCGTGCTGAGGAAAGGAGAGAAGGAACAGTGGCCACACGGTCACAGAAACCCTCCCTTATGCGCGTCCGGTAAGACGTGCGCAGAAAAACACACACGGTGATCGCTGCTGGGTGGCAGGGCGATAGAATTCACTTAGGAACGTTTTCTAAATTTTTCTACAATGAAATTGCACGGCTTGTTTAAAATCTGCTTTTCTTTTTTCCTGGACTGGACTGAACAGACCAGCACCTTTCTTGAGCAGCATGAATGGGAAGGAACGGACAGGCGGGAGTGATGAATCAGTAGGCCTGGCTTCAACCCTTCCACCAACTCAGATTACACACATTTTTAATGATCTGAGGGACTCGTGGTTCTATTTCACTTTGGAGAATTGGACATTGCATCGCTGCCAAAACTACCAGAATGACTTCTCTTTAAAAAAAAAAAAAAAAAAAAAAAAGAAAGAAAAGAAACATTTCGAGAACTTTCCACAGTGACTGCTCCATGGAGGGCCACCCCAAGGGAAGGAGCCCATTCCCGGACAACCACCCCTTTGACTCACCCCTCGTTCGGTTGCTCCGGCCAAAGTCCGATGGGCTGTCTGCTGGCTGCCCATCCTCTGCCGCGGACACGTAGGCAGGGTTGTCCAGGCCAGGCTCGTCTGTCATTAAGGCGACGGTGGCAGCTGCAGAGACCTCCGGGAAGAGTGTCGTGGCCGTGAGGCTCGCACAGCTGTCCACACAGCCATCCTGGGAGCGCCTCTTCCTGTCCTTGGTCAGGCCATAGTGGGAGGCGCCTTTACAGCTGCAGGAAAACCAGGAGAAATGGCTCAGCTTTGCTCCTTACCCACCAGCCTCTACTGGAGAGGAGCATGCTTGCTACTCTCCGAGCTTGATTTGCTCACCCTTAGATCTACCTCCCTTCTCACACATCCGTACTCAGCAGACCCTCGCCAACAAAATGAACTGATAATTTGAGATACATTTTGAAAGATGCTCATCACATTCTCTTACTTAAAGCAATTTCTATACTGGCCTCTGGAATGCACATGTATGAAAGTTGTCAAGGCGTCTTCGAGACTAGGGCTTGAGGCTGGCGATCTTCAGCTATCTGGATGGTAATTCCTTCTTGCTGGTGTTTATTTTGACACCAAAGTGCTTAGTCACATTCTCAGTCCTGTCTTTTGGGTTTAGCTCCCAGAGCTCTGAACATAAATACCAAGTTCCTCCCAGATTCCATATTTAACTGTCCATAGAAACAGAGTCGCCACCACCACCAGGCCACAGGAATTCACTCTGCATTGCTATTCTTGAGAGGCGGGCTTGCTAGCTTTCCTTCTCTACATCTGGGCTGGTCTCAGTGAGGCTCCCACGCACTGAGAAATTTCATTCATTGTCATGTCTTCTAACACTGGGAGAGTAAAACAACATCCATAATCTTAAAAAAAAAAAGGACATAAAATGAAATGGCCTATACCCATTTACCATCCATGTTAAAGAGCAGGCCCACGGGCTAGGGGACCAGGGTTTGAGTTGATCTAGGTCCATATTTTGCTATGAATGTACTTCTCTGTGCCACTGGGCAAGTCGTTTCATCTCTCAGGTGGGGTTTTGGTCAGAAAATGGTGATGATTGAACTATCTCATTGCACGGTGGTGAGGACGTAGCCACAGATAGCCGCACCAATTTCTACAGTTGTTGTGAGGGCAGAAATTATATTGGTGAGCCCTTTTAAGAAGTGGCCATTTGTATATAATGGACGTGTAATTAGTATTTTTTAAAAAATCAACTCATTACACAAAACCTTATATGGTTGAGCCATTTTAAATATATTTCTTTATTGATTTCAGAAAGGAAGGGAGAAGGAGAGAGAGACAGAAACATCAATGATGAGAAAGAATGATTGATTGGCTGCCTCCTGCACATCTCCTACTGGGGAATGAGCCCGCAACCCAGGCATGTGGCCTTGACTGGAATCGAAACTGAGACCCTTCAGTCTGCAGGCTGACTCTTTATCCACTGAGCCAAGCCGGCTAGGGCCGTTGAGCCATTTTACACACTAAATCTCAGCCCAAAGAGCAAGAAGCGATGAGCTATTTTAAATAACCCAGCGGAGAGCCTACTTGGAGCGATGCCTCATGTAAGATGCTTGGAAGTAAACAGAACCAAATGGCAGTCTACAGTCCACATGCAGACAGGATTTATAGGGCCCATAGAGCCACATAGCGGGTGAAGAGAAGAGCCTATTGTCCCGGTCAGAATTTTTGCTTTGCAGGGGTCCTCAAACTACGGCCCGCGGGCCACATACAAATACAAATATTGTATTTGTTCCTGTTTTGTTTTATTACTTCAAAATAAGATATGTACAGTGTGCATGGGAATTTGTTCATAGTTTTTTTTTTTAAACTATAGTTCGGCCCTCCAACGGTCTGAGGGACAGTGAACTGCTCCTCCCCCCCCCCACCCCATTTAAAAAGTTTGAGGACCCCTGCTTTAAAGTTTACCAAGCTGTGTGATCTGGGGCAATTTTGTTAACCTCGTTAAACTTTCTAATCTGCACATGCACCTTGGGTTGCTGTGAGGTCTGGCTGACATTAAGTCTTGTCAAGAGTTTAGTACCTGACCAGACAGACAGATGGTTTCCAATAGATTGTAGCTGCTTACACAATTTATCCATTCTAAGATGCTCATTTTTTTTTCACACTTTCACATCTCTGAGGATGCATGGGGGCTGATGGCTCATACAGCTTCTGTTGCAAGCCGAAGCCATGATGCAGATGCCACTGCCCCACCATGGCAGACACGGCACAGCTGTCCCTCTTGTCACCCCTACTGAGTCACATCCACTCTCAGTACTACAACATTGAGCTTAATTGTCATTAAATGTCTTAGAAGAAGTTACATTATGATTCAGGATTGAAATGAAAAGCTACAGTATATTTAGAAAGTCTCAAAAACAGCAGTGGCATGTACATTTGGTATTGGTAAAGCAAATATTCCTTGTTAGAAGGAGGACAGAAATTCCACATTTTCTTGCCAGGAGACAAGCAAATGCTTTATTTGCTTAGAAAGATACCCCCCAAGGAGATGAAAAGTGGTGTTGCATTTTGTTACTGAGATCATGCAAAAGGATTGGCCTATTTTATGCCAAACAACACAACCAGAGGGCAGGAGAAGTCACCAATTCATCTCCATGGATTTCAAAGCCCCAAGTGTCTGATGTGACCAATCCACACATCACAGGGATATCTTTGAAGGTGTTTTGAGATAATTCAACCAGTGGCAGATTTTTACATTTTCTTTTCTTGTTGCTACATTAAATATAATGTTTCTTATAATCAGTGGCATCTTAGATTGGATGAATGTGGTTTTGCTATTGGTAGAAAGGGACTTTGATTATATAACCCCACACCCTTATCTTATTGAAGAAGAAACAGGCCTTCAGCTTCTAATGTTAGTCTTTCCCCCCACTGAAAGCATTCAGGCTCCCTGTTTGAATTGATGAGGTTTTACTGTTCTGATGAGCTACTCTGGCTTGGAATTGTTCTGCTTAAAAATAGCAAAGCGGCTGATATGGGAAACTAAAAAATTGGAAGAAACACTGTGTGATGGAAAAAATAAAAGCCAGCATGCATTTGAGCAACTCCAAAGTCATAAATATGCGGGTGGAACACTTCTATGCAAGCCAGCAGTGTTTGGTTAGCAATGGATGGGAAAGAAGTTCCTAGACTATTTAGTTGGACTGGGAAGAGTCTCTTTTCTTGGGCAGCAATGCTCTTGCACTTAGCCATGTGCTCTGCCAGAGCAGGAAATGAATTTTCCTATTGGACAAATGGCGGCAAAGGGATAAGCCACGGTTTTTGGGGGGTTGGGGGGAAGGAGGGCATAGCACATCCCGGTGGAAAAATGGTGGCATCCTATTCTGCTGCCTCATTTGTGAGGAGGTTAAAGGTTTTAAAAGTATTCCAAGGCCATAGCATTAAGAAGCCATTGCTGTTTCCCACCCTTGGAGTCCAAAGACACATTTGAGTCTAGGCATGTAAGCCTTCCCCATGGCCTCATATCACGGCTATCCTTATGATGGCTGGAGAGGGTACAGAATCTAGACTTAATTTACCATTCTGGCTCATAAGCCTTCGTGAAAAGGTTCTGCTAAAGCAACTCATACTTGTGTAGTGTTGCCTACTCCAGTTTGTTGGCTTAGCTTGAATATGAGGCACAGAGTGATCTATGAAGGTAGCAGCTTGTACTTAGTAATTATCTCTTTTGTGTTGACTAACACTGGGGCCACTTGATTTACAAGCACAAAAGAGGGGAGGACAGAGGAAGAGCTGATTAGCACTGGCCAGCACAAGAACATACGGTGAACCCTGGGTTGTGTTCAAAGCAAGCAGGGTTTATTCTCCCTTTAAGTTATCCTGAGCACTAAGTACTCTCAGGTGGTGATGGGCAATGGCCATGAACTTGAAGGATGAACATAAGGAACATGGAAAACCATTTTTCAAACAAACCATGCACTTCTGATATGCTCTCTGTTCAGCACAGCAACTCTGAAAGTCATTTATTTTTTGCTGTTGTTAATAATGGAGTTGGGATCTTGAGCTCCTATATTAAAGTGAGCTAGCTGCAAGTTAGTCTTAACATACGAATGCTGACACGGGTGTACTGTGGAATACTGTCCTTTTAGCAAGGGTGGGGAGCAAGAATAGAAAATGAACCCCCTTCTTGTAAAAATTCCTGAGCCCATGGTTTCACTATTAACAGCAGTTGACATGAAGCAGGATGGACCCACGCATAATTCACAGAGGCTCTGATGGGGTGTCCTCCGCTGAGAGCAGCACACCAGGCAACACAAGCTGGCTTGCAGGGGAGGGCTAGCTTCTGAGAGTGAGCTATCCACTATGACAAAAGAATAAAAGCTGTCCACAAGAAAGCGAGTCTCAATACCTTCATCACAACAGTCTGGGTAACTCTACAACCTCCCTTTGATCTAACTTTCCTTACATTCTTTCTCTCTTGGTTCACTTCTGAATTAGGTAAACATTGGGGCTGCTCCTCATGTTGAGTTCATTAATTGCCCGGTCTGGTCCTACTTGAAGCGAGGCTTGCAAACTCACATGCTAGTCAGGTGAGGAAATGGGGGAGGTCGGTCTGGGAGGGGAGGACCACGGTGAGCCGTGTTTTGAAAGTGCAGCAGCCTATATGTCCTACAGACTTTGCTGAGCATTGCCTCAAGAAGACCAGCTCAAGAGTAATTACTCAAAAAAAAAAAAAAAAGGACATCTAAATTAGAAAGCAAGAAGTAAAACTGCCATGATTTGTAGGTGACATATTATATATAGAAAACCCTCCACCAAAAAACTGGTAGAACTAACAAATTCAGTAAAGTTGGAGGATACCAAATCAATATACAAAAATATGTTGCATTTCTATACACTAATAATTATCTGTCAGAAAAAGAGTATAGAAAAGGGAATCCTTGTACACTACTGGTAGGAAAGTAAAATGGTGAAACCATATGGAAAACAGTATGGAGGTTCCTGAATATATTAAAAATAGAACTATCATAGGATCGATCCAGCAATCCACTTTTGGGTATTTATCCAAGGACATAGAAAACACTAATTTGAAAGATATCTACACTCCCATTGTAGCACTTCTATAGTAGCTAAAATATGGGAGCAACCTAAGTGTCTATCAATAGATGAATGGATGAAGGTGATGCGCACACACACACACACACACACACACACACACAAAACTAGAGGCCTGGTGCACGAATTCGTGCACGGGTGGGGTCCCTCT